GAAGTCCATCAACCAAATTTCAACACTTTAGCCACCAGGCAACCGAAAATCATGGCTGAATTTTTTCATCAAATTGGTAATGATGCTCCAAAATTCCAGGTCTGTCACATGGACTATATAAGGTCTGTTGTTGAGTCAAGTGGCATGGTTTGGATCACAAGCTTGTAAAGCGTAGGATCGCCTGCCTAACCTCATGGATTTCCTCCCACTGTTAAAGACCCCTATGAGAACTATGGAAATAAAATTGTACTTTATATTATAGTCATAATGACTAATGATGAACATTTTCTGCTTATAAGAAGCTTGTCTGTAGGCCTATATTAATCACATCTTTTTATTGTCCCCCGCCTTTCGAAGAAAGCAGGGGACTATTAAAATGGGTTCGTCCGTCTGTCTATCTGTCTGTCCGTCTGTCTGTCCGTCACACTTTTTGGGACACAATAACTCTCTTCCTAATTGAGCTAGAATGTTCAAACTTGGTGTATGTGTTTATTAGGTCAATGCCTTGATGGAGTTCGAAGATGAGCATTTTCCGCTTAGGGTAAGCAGAGATAAGCAATTTGATTGGTTGATGCTTTGGGACACGATAACTCTCTTCCTAATTGGGCTAGAATGTTCAAACTTGGTGTATGTGTTGATTAGGTCAATGCCTTGATGGAGTTCGAAGATGAGCATTTTCCGCTTAGGGTAAGCAGAGATAAGCAATTTGATTGGTTGATGCTTTGGGACACGATAACTTTTAATTGAGCTAGAATGTTCAAACTTGGTGTATGTGTTTATTAGGTCAATGCCTTGATGGAGTTCGAAGATGAGCATTTTCCGCTTAGGGTAAGCAGAGATAAGCAATTTGATTGGTTGATACTTTGGGGCACGATAACTCTCTTCCTAATTGAGCTAGAATGTTCAAACTTGGTGTATGTGTTGATTAGGTCAATGCCTTGATGGAGTTCGAAGATGAGCATTTTCCGCTTAGGGTAAGCAGAGATAAGCAATTTGATTGGTTGATGCTTTGGGACACGATAACTTTAGTTCTAATTAAGTGAGATTGATGAAACTTGGTGTATAGTTTCATTACAGTAATACCTTGTTTATTTTGGGATTTCGGCGGGGGACATCAGCCTCACTGTTGGCTTGTTATATTATAGTAGGGTGAATTTGGACTCAATAGTAAATGTTTAATACGTCATGCTAATCCGCACAGTATTACATAATTCAGTCAATTATATTTTAATGGATCTTAATCCACCTTAATTACCCACCATTTATATCTACTTCATATTGTCTTATATATTTCATTAATCACCTGTCTCCAGTATTCTTTGTTTTAAACTTTAAATTGAGCACATACCTAAGGACAGACCTTATTTACCTGTATTTGGAGACATAAGTTTATGTCAATTCCCATATCCACATTGGAGCTTATTTACTATTAAGCATTGGACCAATAATTGTTATATTAATTGTCTGTTGTGATATTTGTTGATTACTGTTTACCAAAGAATATAGAGAACTATTAACAACCATCAACAGTCTTGTCTTCTTTTAATCAACAACGAAGATTCCAGAAAATACACGAAAAGTGCACTTGTACAAATGGGGAGATTGCTTTGAGTGGCAAGATTTCGTTCGTACCTCAAACAGCCAAGCGAGAAGTTTAGAACGAGCTAGAACACCTTCCAACAATGTAAATATTCAAGAAAGCAGAATTGGAAACCAACAGTCCCGAGGAAGAAGAAACCACAGCTACACTAACCCTAGATAAGCAAAAGCGGGTAGAAGGCGAAAATGTTTCTGTCATCTAATCCAAGATATCCAGACCATGGTGGAAATTCGTACAGTCAAGACTTTGGAATATTCACGCCGACGTCATCAAATGGAGCTTTAGATAACAGAAGACAAAAAGGTATGTGGTCTTTTTATCAGGGTAATCGCCATGCGCCATCGAGTTATTGTCAGTTTAATTATCAAAATCATAGTCCTCGTGCTCTTGCTCCTAAACATGAGTATAAAGTCAAACGATCTGTTTCTTTAAATGTTCAAAGAAATAAAAATAAAACATCGGCTAAAACCGATCGCGACTCTAAAAGAAAACATGAATATGAAACGCGGAAATTCTTTATGAGGCAACTTCCATTTTCGCAAATTGGCATACGAGCGTTTCATGAAATGCAAAATTTAAATGGCGTGATAAAGCAACATACTATTAGGAACACGCCTGTTCAAAATCTAAGCCATGATAAATGTAACATTGAAGCTAATAAATTAAATAGGAAAATCTCTGAATTGACCTCGGAAATTAAAAGCGCGCATAAACATAAACTTGAGATGCATCTTGATCTCGACGAATTGTTACGGTCTAAAGAACAATTAGAAAAGACCCATGAAAACGCTATGCTCGAAATTGAAAGATTGGGCGTGAGAGAAAACTTTTTAGAGTCGAGTAAGAGTGACGTAATATGCGAGCTTATTGAACATCAGAAACAGATCGAAGACCTTAAAGAAGAAAATGAACATTTAAAACAAGATTTGGACGAATGTTACGACTATGATGAAAACGATTTTTATGATGGTCCACCCAATACTTGGCCCTGTAATAACGGGGACGATTTTTATGATGGCCCACCCAATACTGGTCCATATGATAATGGTGGCAACGATTTTAATGATGGACCACCCAATACTTGGAAGTATAATAATGGAGATGATTTTTATGGGGGTCCATCGAATATGCGTCCATATGATAATGGAGTAAACTATTTTAATAATGGCCCACCAAATAATTGGCGAAATAACAGTGGACCAGTACATAAAAATAAATTTAGAAACAAATCTTTTAACAAGCGATTTTAATTATTTTATTTACGTGATAAAGACTGACAATACAATTACCTTGATAAGCCACATACCTATTCCAATTTATATTTATTAATATTTGTATTCTATATATTTAGTGTGTGTTTCATTATGATTTTTTATATTTCTGTTTTATAATTTTTATTAAAACGGGTGAGGGCACCCATATCCACTATATGTCGACTCCCATCCGCTTTACAGAATTTGTTAATTTTTATATTTGTACTTATATATGTTGATATTGATATGATGTATTATGATTGTTTTTATATGTTGCCGATTAATATTCGGGACGAATATTTTTTTTAAAATCTGGGAGTATTATAGTAGGGTGAATTTGGACTCAATAGTAAATGTTTAATACGTCATGCTAATCCGCACAGTATTACATAATTCAGTCAATTATATTTTAATGGATCTTAATCCACCTTAATTACCCACCATTTATATCTACTTCATATTGTCTTATATATTTCATTAATCACCTGTCTCCAGTATTCTTTGTTTTAAACTTTAAATTGAGCTTATAAATTATAATTAACGTCAACGGGCTATAGCGTTTAGTTACCAGGGTATATTGTTTGTAGATTTATAGGATTAATGCCCTAGGCGATGCATGGGGATATATAGACCCAAAATGACAGAATTTGGGAAGAGCTGGCTACACACGTGTCTTGGGAGATCAATTTAGATCACATACCTAAGGACAGACCTTATTTACCTGTATTTGGAGACATAAGTTTATGTCAATTCCCATATCCACATTGGAGCTTATTTACTATTAAGCATTGGACCAATAATTGTTATATTAATTGTCTGTTGTGATATTTGTTGATTACTGTTTACCAAAGAATATAGAGAACTATTAACAACCATCAACAGTCTTGTCTTCTTTTAATCAACAACGAAGATTCCAGAAAATACACGAAAAGTGCACTTGTACAATATGCCCACATTGAAATGTGGTTGTATATTGTTGTCGCCCCAGTCCGTCGGTCTGGCGTCCACGTTTGCTTGTGGACGCTTTAGAGGCTAAAGTTAATATCTGATTGACTTTAAATTTATACAGTGTTAAAGCTAATGAGACGAAGAAACCTATTATTTGCAGGGGTTTAATATCAGATTGACTTTAAATTTATAAACAGTGTTTAAAGTCATGAGACAAAGACCTCTTTGAAAAATAGTTGCAGAAGCTCTTCAGACTAAAGTTAATATCTGATTGACTTTAAACTTATACACAGTGTTTAAGGTCATGAGTCAAAGAGTCCTGATTTTTGATAAGATATTGGTTCCTTTCGATATTCGCACATATCGGATCATAACTTCCTAAATTATGGCCCTTGATTGAACAAAAAATCACATTTTTAGCTTGTGGTCCCTGTAGAGGTCACAATTTTTATCCAATTAAAAAAAAAAATTGTGAATATATCACCTTTATACACTAAGATCTTGGTTTCTTTTGATAATTGCGGATACCTGAACTTAACTTCCTGGATTATGGTCCCTGATTTTTTAAAAAAAATGCATTTTTAGCTTGCAGATTCTCAAGAGGTCACAAGTTTTTTCCGATTTTAAAAACCGTTTAAATACATCACAATATAATGAAGGTTGAATTCGAATTTCGGGAAAATCAAAATGAAACAGCCTGACAAAATGGCCACTCTTTGTACGCAAATTGTGTAAAAGTGTGTAATACGAAGGTTGTGGACCCTTCTAGAGGTCACAATTTTTGTCCAATTTTGATGAAACTTAAAAAATATCTTTATATCCCAAAGATCTCAGTGCCTTTTGATATTTGCACATTTCAGGCCATAACTTTGTGGATTATTGCTCCTGATTGTACAAAAAATCGTGTTTGTTTTTAGCTTGTTCTCTATCCATCTCTGGCAGCCGCTGGTTAAATTTAAAAGTTATTTAAAAATAGTCTGACAGTTAATTAGGATGTAAAGATTTTTGTAGATTGACCAGACACTGATTCAAACTTTATTAAATTGTAACCTGCACTTGATCAGGTCAATTTATGCTTGATTTTAATACTTTCCTAATGCTGATTAATTCCACTGAATTGTGATTGTATCTACAAGGGTTTTACATTATTTAGTAGTTGATCAGATAGATTTCTGTCTTATTGTGTAATTATATTGCAGGTGCCAATTGATAATACTAATCATCTACCATCATTGGTTGCACGATATTTTGAATTGGTTGGTAATGGTACTAGAACACTGACAGCAGATATTCAACTTTCATCGCTAGGTTGGTTTGTCAGATTATTTCTCAATATAGTCCATTCTCATTAAAAGAGCATTATTTGGTATTCTGACTAACATACAGATCTATGTGTGTGTGAAATAGCTTTATTTAACGTCCGCTTCCAAAGAAGTGATATCGCAGACAATTACATGTTCTATATAAAAAATGAAAAGTTTACAAAGTGATTAGATAAAAAAGTGAAAGGATTGGTAAAAGTATTTATAATATGTACATAGAAGAACTGTTTAAACCATTAAGGACAGACGATATACATTTAACATACGAACGTGGACATATATATATGTTTATGTAATAATGGACTTGAAGAATGAGGCTAGACATATTCCACAAGTCATATTGTACGGTGACGCCATATTCTTATCTGGAGAGCATCGGTATAGACTGGAATAACCAGCGCTAGAGATTGCCATTTGATTGAGACTTCTGGCGTATTTATAGTATAAACAGAAACGATTTGAATGTAAATCAGTTTATAAACATTCATATTGCATTATTATATTCATTGCGACCCATTTGTGTCAATTTCTATGTCCCAAATATTAGCGATTTAGCTCCTTCAAGCCCTGGGGGGTTGGATAGCCGAATGGTTAGCATGTGTGCGCTGTATCATAAGGTCTGTCATTGAGTCGACTGGCGTGGTTTTGATTCCCCGGTTGTACTTGACAAGGAGTAGGGACGCCTGTCCAAACTCGTGGGTTTACTCCAGGTGTTCCGGTTTCCTCCCAGTGCTATAGACCCCTACGCACAAGTGAATTATTGAAATAAAATTGATCCATGTTTTAGTCCCAAAATGACCTAGTTTGGGTTGGTTGAGTAGATGTTAAACCCCATTTCACTCTCTCTCCCTTCAAGCCCTGTATCATTGAAATGGAGTTATTGTTGCTTTGAAAGATACCACAAGACTGTGTGACCTTTAATCCCTTCAGAGAGGTGGTGTTGGGTGTGTATTTGTTGCTTGACAATGAATTCTATGTTTACGTTTTTCATGATGTTTATTGCTTTAAGATGCATTATGTAAGAGCTAAATCTGCCTATTGTAGGTCTTTTTTTCTGGCTTCTTTGGTGCAATGTAGCCCGGTTGTACCTGACGTGCCATAAAACTCCATTTTATTCATTCATTCAATTTTCTGGCTTAAAATTTTATATAAATTATTATTTAACCATTCATTAACATGACAAGCCCATAACCAATTCTCTGGACCATCGTATGGCTCTGATTTTAAGTAGATTTGAACACTGCTGCCATTTAGGAGTTTAACGATAAAATTGATAATCAAGACTTATTTCTGGTTGTCAAGTACTGTTGCTATGATAATAAACAATCTACGCAACATTTGTCACACTATATCTTACAGATAACAGAAGATCAGCATAATTGATAAGACCTTTATTGAGAACATGAAATAGACATAAATCGGGAGGGGTTCTATTCCAAGTCTGACTTGCTGTCAGTAAACGTCTGCTTATATAGGATCTAACAATTAGGGGAGATGGACAGGAGTGATAATCATATATGGTATTGTTTATTATCAAATTATGGTGTTTGTAATTACACTGCATATTTCTTTGGAAGTCATTGTCAGGTCAAGGCACTGACAACTAATACATTTTCTTTGGAGTTCTGTCTAGTGTTATACACGGATCACGTGTAGCTTGTAAAGAACATATTGAATAAACTAGATGTTTAATAAGATCGTGCCTTAACAGAAGTTATAGAGAGATTAAACGTCATCTTCAGGTATACATCACTTTGTCACATTCCTTTCCCACCCACAGTTTATTTATTAAAAATAAATAACGAACACAATTTAAACGTCAACTTCAGGTAAATCTTATCTAAATCTTACATAATGCATCTTTAAATTATCCTCCAAGGGTTATGCACCAATTACATTTTCTTTCTATTTTAAGTGTCTGCTTATAATCTATTTGTGAATAATTTCAGGATGGGTTTCAGTAGCTATACAAAGAGCTGATGTTATTGGATTACGAGTTTACACTCCAGGGGGATATGGTTGCCATCTAAGAGAAACTCCAGTGTTATCTAATTACAAAAAATTTCAAGGGCCTAGAATTAAGGGGACAAATAGATATAAATGGACAATACCATCTTAGTGAATCTATTTTACTGTTTTTATATGCCCACATTTTCATGTGGATGTATATTGTCGTCGCCCCTCGTTCGCAAATAGTGTCAAAATATTGTGTATCATGGTTGTGGACCCTCTGGAGGTAACAATTTTCATCTTATTTTGATGAAACTTGAAATGCATATTTATAACCGAAATATCTCAGTTCCTTTCAATATTCGCGCATATTGGATCGTAACTTCCTGAATTATGGCCTCTGATTGTACGAAAAATCGCGTTTTTAGCTTGTGGTCCCTCTAGAGGTCACAATTATTATCCGATTTAAAAAAACGTTCGAATATATATCACCGTTACACTGTAATGTTTGTTGAGTTCGAATTTCGTGAAAATCGGGCCAAAACTACCGTGCAAAATGGCTGCCCCTCGTACATCTCGTAAATCAAGGTTGTGGACCCTCTAGAGGTCACAATTTTGATCCGATTTCGATGAAACTTGAGATACATGTTTATTACCCAAAGATATTGGTTCATTTTGATATTCGCAAATATCGGGTCAGGACTTACTGAATTATGGCCCTTGATTGAACAAAAAATCACGATTTTAGCTTTGTGGTCCCTGTAGAGGTCACAATTATCATCTGATATACAAAAACGTTCGAATATATCACTGTTACACCGTAATGTTGGTTGAGTTCGTAATTTTATCCGATTAAAAAAAAACGTGTGAATATATCACCATTACACACTAACTTCTTGGATTATGGCCCCTGATTATTCGAAAAATCGCATTTTTAGCTTGCGGATTCTCTAGAGGTCATAATTTTTTTTCAGATTTTAAAAACCGTTTAAATACATCACCATTCCACCATAATGGAGGTTGAATTCGAATTTCGGGAAAATCGAAATGAAACTGCCCGACAAAATGGCCGCTCTGTGTACGCAAATTGTGTAGAAGTGTGTAATACGAAGGTTGTGGACCCTCTAGAGGTCACAATTTTTATACGCCCATATTTTCATGTGGACGTATTATGCCATCGCCCCTGTCCGTCCGTCCGTCCACAATTGTTTGTGGACTCTCTACAGGTCACAATTCTTATCCGATTTTGACGAAACTTGAAATATAGGTTTATCCCCGAAAGATCTCGGCTGCTTTCGATATTGGCATGTATTGGATCGAAACTTAATGGATTATGGCCCCTGTTTGTACGAAAAATCACGTTTTTAGCTTGTGGACCCTATAGAGGTCACAATTTTTATCCGATTTTGTTGAAACTTGAAATGTAAGTTTATAACCCATAATTTTTATCCGATTTAAAAAACTGTATTATTAATCGGCCCAAAATTGACAGACAAAATGGACGCCGTTCGTTCTCAAATAGCATAAGAAAATGGTATATCAAGGTTGTGGACCCTATAGAGGTCACAATTTTTATCCGATTTTGTTGTAAATGAAATGTAAGTCTATAACCCAAAGATCTCGGTTCCTTTAGATATTCGCGCATATCGGATCATAATTTCCTGAATTATGGCCCCTGATTGTACGAAAAATCGCGTTTTTAGCTTTTGGACCCTATAGAGTTCATAATTTTTATCCGATTTAAAAAAACATATTATTATATCACCGTTACACCCTAAGGACGACTGAGTTTGAATTTCATGAAAATCGGCCCAAAATTGACAGACAAAATGGCCGCCGTTCATTCTCAAATAGCGTAAAAATATGGTATATCAAGGTTGTGGGCCCTATAGAGGTCACAATTTTTATCCGATTTTGTTGAAACTTGAAATATAAGTTTATAACCCAAAGATCTCAGTTCCTTTCAATATTTGCCCATATCGGACCGTAACTTCCTGAATTATGGCCCCTGATTGTACGAAAAATCATGTTTTTAGCTTGTGGACCCATTAGAGGTCATAATTTTTATCCGATTTAAAAAACCGTATTATTATATTACCGTTCCACCCTAAGGACAGTTGAGTTTGAATTTTGTGAAAATCGCCCCAAAATTGACAGATAAAATGGCCGCCATTCGTTCTCAAATAGCGTAAAAATATGGAATATCAGGGTTGTGGACCCTATAGAGGTCACAATTTTTATCCGATTTTGTTGAAACTTGAAATGTAAGTTTATAACACAAAGATCTCAGTTCCTTTCGATATATGCGCATATCGAATTGTAATTTCCTGAATTATGGCCCTTGATTGTAGGAAAAATCACTTTCTTGTTAGCTTGTTTTCTATCCATCTCTCGAAAATGTGGGCGTATCCTGCCTGGCAGCCGCTGGTTATCCAATTTTGATGAAACTTAAAACATAATTTTATATCCGGAAGATCTCAGTCCCTTTTGATATTTGCACATTTCAGGCCATAACTTTCTGGATTATTGCCCCTGATTATACAAAAATCGTGTTTGTTTTTAGCTTGTTCTATATCCATCTCTTCCAAAACGTGGGCGTAGCCTGCCTGGCAGCCGCTGGTTCGATTATTCTTCTTAAAAACATATATGTATAACAGTTATGAATCTGCAGACAATGACCAAAAAATGGGCGTAGCCACCAGATACATAAATTACTTTATTATGTTCTGTTCAAACTATTTAATGGGGAGCAAATATTTACTCTCACTTCTCAGATAAATTTAAGATATGACATCAAACCGGTGAAAGTTAAATTATGTTGCAACTGGTTATCATAGAAACTATATACAGAAAGAGTGAAATGATGTTAAAATCCCACTAGAACCAAACTATAGGGTTTTTTTTCAGGACTTTATTTTAATAATTTACTTTTGGGCCATTTTTTTTAAAAAGCAGAATCTGAAGAAAAACTTTGCATAGATGATTTTCCATGTTCTTTACAGTACATCTACATCCCAGGTTTTTTTTTTTTATGTTACCACTGTGGTTATTCATTTCATGATGAAGGAAGCAAATTACAATTGTGATGTAAGATTTGTTTAAAAGTGAGGGCATGGAATATTATATATTTTGTTAGGGGATATCCATCTTCCAAATGAAATTTGAGTGTCCTTTAAATTCTCTCATAACCTACAAAAGAATAAATAACAGATTTTGACTTCTTTGTAGTTGGTTTGGAAGTATGTTTCATTACCTGGCAACCTATCTTTTAACTTTTGATGGGCTAGTATGATTAAAATGATTACCAAATGAAATTTTATAATACAAAATTTGTGGGAAATCTGTAACATATTCGTACCACGGATCATTTTTATACGCCCACATTTTCATGTGTACATATATTGTTGTCGCCTCTGTCCGTCCGGATGTCCACAATTTGTTTGTGGACTCTCTACATGTCACAATTCTTTTCTGATTTTGACGAAACTTGAAATATAGGTTCATCTCCAAAAGATCTTGGTTCCTTTCGACATTGGGATGTATCGGATCGAAACTTCTTGGATTATGGCCCCTAATCGTACGAAAAATCACGTTTTTAATATTTGAAATGTAAGTTTATAACCCAAAGATCTTGGTTCCGTTCGATATTCCTGAATTATGGCCCCTGATTGTACGAAAAATCAGGTTTTTTAGCTTGAGGACCCTATGGAAGTCAAAATTTTATTCCGATTTAAAAAACTGTTTGAATATATCACCATTACACCTTAATAACGGTTGAGTTTGAATTTCGTGAATATCAAGGTTGTGGACCCTCTAGAGCTCACAATTTTGATCCGATTTTTATGAAACTTGAAATACATGTTTAAAACCCAAAGATCTTGGTTCCTGTCGATATTCGTGCATATCGGATTGTAACTTCCTGAATTATGGCCCCTGATTGTACGAAAAATCGCGTATCTAGCTTGTGGTCCCTCAAGAAGTCACAGTTATTATCTGATTTAAAAAAACATTTGAATATGTCACTTTTACACCGTATTGTTGGTTGAGTTCGAATTTCATAAAAATCAGACCAAAACTGTCAGACAAAATAGTGTAAAAAGCTGGTATATCAAGGTTGTGGACCCTCTAGTAGTCTAAGTTTTGATCCGATTTTGATGAAACTTGAAATGCATGTTTATAACCCAAAAATCTTGGTTGCTTTCGATATCTGATTGTACCTTCCTGAATTATGGCCCTTGATGTTACGAAAAATCGCTTTTTGTTTCGCTTGTTCTCTATCCATCTCTTGAAAAATGTGGGCGTATCCTGTCTGGCAGCCGCTGGTTATCTGATTAAAAAAAACGTTTGAATATATCACTGTTACACCCTAAAGATGGTTAAGTTAGAATTTCATGAAAATCGGACCAAAACTGCTGGACAAAATGGCTGCTCCTCGTACGCAAATCGTGTAAACATATGGTATATCATGGTTGTGGACCCTCTAGAGGACACAATTTTTATCCGATTTTGATGAAAATTAAAATACATGTTTATAACCCAAAGATCTTGATTCCTTTTGATATGCGTGCATATCCGATCGTAACTTCCTGAGCTATGGCCCTTGATTGTATGAAAAATCACGTTTTTAGCTCGTGGTCCCTCTATAGGTCACAATTTTTATCCCATTTAAAAAAACGTTGGAATACATCACTGTTACCCCCTAATAATGGATGAGTTTGAATTTTGTGAAAATCCAACTAAAACTGTCGGACAAAATGGTCGCCTCTCATATGCAAATAGTGTAAAAGTATGTAATACCAAGGTTGTGGACTCCTAGAAATCACAGTTTTTAACCGATTTCGATGAAACTTAAATATATCTTTATATCCCAAATATCTCAGTCCATTTCGATATTCACGCATTTCAGACCATAACTTCCTGGATTATTGCCCCAGATTGTGGACTCTAGAAATCACAATTTTTAACCGATTTTGATAAAACTTAAAATATATCTTTATATCCCAAATATCTCAGTCCATTTCGATATTCGCGCATTTCAGACCATAACTTCCAGGATTATGACCCCAGATTGTACGAAAAATCGCTTTTTTTTTATATAGGTTGTTCTCTATCCATCTCTTGCAAAATCTGGGCGTATCTTGCCTGGCAACCGCTGGTATCACTAGCAACAGTCAACTACACATATAGCTGTTTAATAAATAGATAGAACTCAATGACCACTGAATACCGCTTGGGTTATTCAATGGTTCAAGAGAGTGTATCCCTGCGCAAGTATTCCACGAGCGTTATTCTATAACTACAGGTAAATCTCAAAATACACTGTACTACCCAGATTACCAAAAACAAAATCAACAATAACGTTAAAATTCATCATAGGTTTCGCCCTCTTTTCTTTCTTTTTTTACAAAAATTGTGGTTGCTAGTGGTGACGCCATTACAGTTTGACATAATTCTGAAAGTGACGTCATTCTGGACATAAGTAGTACGTGTCCAAGCCATTGAATACAGCCATAGGTTATTCAATGGCTGTATTCAATGGCAGTATTCAATGATATTTGCTTGTATTTGCATGTAGTTATAGAATAATCAGTCTTATTGATTGACTCTACAGTTTAAGCCTAGATAGTGTTGGTTGTTACTCAAAACAAATCATTTAGCAATGATATGGGAATCTTGACAAATCTCATATATTATTTGACAAATACACAAATTTCATATATTTTAACACTGCATATTTTTCTTTCAAGAGAGTTAGGATGAAAATAAAAACCGTTTTTAAGGGTTCGATTCAATTTTTTTCGTTAGGTGACCTGATATTCTATTGCCGTTCCTTTAAAAATCTATACAGTGTATGACCCACTTGCTTTACTTGATAATGAAAGGTACATTTCACCTACATGTTATTTTTATAAAATAAAAGTCTGCTTTAATCCAGACAACGTATAATACTGCTTGGGACACCAGCCTCCGTTTCCAGGTGAAGATTGACGGGTTAAAGTTGTTTGAAAACATATTACGTATATTGAGTTAGTTGCTCGGCCCTAAGGTAGGGGATTTTAACACAAAATTAAGCTGTTTTATTCTCCAAAATATAAACGAGATTGGCACTTAAAATTGCCCGGTCACCTGGAAGATGAAAATGTAATTATCATTTTTAATAAAGATGATTGCAAGGCCCCGCTTGGCATGCCATTATATAAACATAAATTGTGTCTATTTCATGTTTCAGTGGAATTTAATTGGCCGTATAGATACTGCTTTTGCAATTTTTATACATACAACTGAGTGCCAATAATTACATAAAATTTCATGTGATATATTAAATATATCATTTATTATATAAAGAACATGAACAGTATATTTGTAATTATCAAGCTTCAAAGACCTAAAATACAATTAAGTTAGCTTCGCTTTGAACTACTTGGCTGTTTTTCATTTCATACATCTCTTTATTGGAAATATTGTGTGAACATATGAAATGGCAACAAAGAATGTAACCAACTATTTTAATGTAACGAATGTCATTTCTAGTCGACTTTCCCTTGTGTTTTTTTCTCTACATAATCGCTTGAAAGTGTCACCAAATATGTTGTCTTCGATACGCTCGATGAGACTTTGGTTTGGCTGAACCCCACCCCTTTTGAAAAATCATGTATCCATCCTTGTGAACAGGCTCATAGCCAGAGTTGGTGTGGGGCGTCAGTAACAAAGATGAAGCCCACAGGCTTTTTTTCGTACATCATATCAAGGTTGTAAACTCTCAGTCGTTGCTTCAGGAACATGCATCTTCGAAAATTAGTGCTGGTGTCCTTGATAAAATACTCTGATGGCAAACTGTATTAGCCCAGCAGAAGCAGATAAGGAGGATGTTAAACCCCATTTCATTTCATTTCAAAATAAATGTCGTTTCATGCTTATTTGGTTCATAACTGCATAACTGAATGCATCATAATGGCATATCCATGGACTTAATCCTTTCTTCAACTACCTCCCTGAGATGACAAATATTTGGGGTGACTTGGTCAAAGATTGAGTACAAGTCAACGTTCCAGAATATCACATTTTATGATATTTTCGAACAATGATTAACTCAATGATTAGGCTAATCAAAGTTTATAAAAATCCTAGTTTAAAATTTAGTCAGCTTTCCAGAATATGACTGGTCAGAAAATCGTATATGATTAGCACTAATCTACTTTCGAAAATATGGGCCTTTATGATTATTTTGTCGTTTGTGAATCTGCAGACATTACTAATTACTTCTACATTGTCTGGTAGGATATATTTTTCTTTCTTCATTACACATACATGTAGGGCCCTGTACTGATTATAAAATTGGATATTAGGATCCCATATTTTGAACCAATATTTAATTCTAATTCATGTTTTTAATTTCGGATATATTGAGTTAAAAGTTTTAGCCTTTGTCAGCTACGGATTAGATTAATTTTGGAGGTATTGGTCTTACACAGTTCAATGTCTTTAGTACAACCTCAACAAGAAGTATGAATGTCCAGTCGATAAGCACCTCACCTTGGTAACATCTGACGATGTATCATAACTATGTTTGGATGGCCTTGCGCAATGTAGGAGAGAACGTGCTGATTAGTCATACATAAAGTAGAACACTGTAAGTAAATATGCTGTCTGCAGATAATTGCTTATTGTAAACATAAAGTGATATTTTTGTAATGAAGTAGTCATAAAGATACTTGTTATCCTTGTTATACTCAAGAGTTCAAAATATAAGGTGCATTTGTTAAAGATTATGAAATAGTTCATAGTTTAATGCTTCGTTGGGTCAATGCATGTCGGCTCAGAGTGCCGATTTAAAATTCAAATGTGTGTTACGAGCACTGGTTTTAAATTACAGAGAGAAGGGAGAAATGGGGTTTAACGTCCACTGAACGTAAAGTGTGTGTGTGTATGTGGGGGGGGGGGGGGGTCTCAGTAATGAAATGACCCAAAATGCGTGTACAGCTATTCCGTTCCGCGACTAGCCTACAGCATAAATTAACATTTTCGTTACAATTTATTGAGTGGTTTATATAGATTCCCCGGTTGTACGTGACAAGGAGTAGGGTCGCCTGTCCAGCCTCCTCCGTGTTTTATCGGGTCCTCCGATTTCCTCCCAGTGCTAAAGACCCATACGCGCAAGCGAATTATTGAAATAAAATTGAACCATTTTAGTCCCGAAATGACCTAGTTTGTGTCGAGTGGACGTTAAACCCCATTTCTCTCTCTAACATAATTTATTGACTGTAAATAAAGGGATATTAGGTAAGATTACATAAAGAGCTGACAGTTGTCGCTATAATAGTTAAAAAGTAGATAATGAAAACACAATATGCTGAAAATTTCAGTCAAATTGCTTCACTCTGAACCGTGATACTAGCAATTCAGTTTTAGGCTAGCCTCGGTGGTCATTATACTAACGTTAGTACGCTAATAAACACAGTCTCGATTATCCAATTTTACGTTAAATTATCCATCACAAAATGTATTCAAATCCACTAAACATCCCGGGCTAACCATGACATCAAGTGTTGATTGTGGTCTAGATAATTAATAGCTAATTAAAAATTTAGATAACATTTTAGGCCTAATTGCATAATGCATGTAAAACGCGGCAATGATATAAGGAATGTGGCATCATAGTTTGGATTCTTATCCAAAAGATCTTGTGATGAAGTTTGGATCCCAATCCGCAAGATCTAATAGACGAAGTTTTTCGTTAAGTAAGATCTCTCATGAAGTCTGGCATGGCAACTATCTACGATAGTTTTTCCTACATTTAATCCCAATGTCACTCGGGGGGGGGGGGGGGGGGCACCATGCAAAAACAATTGCGTTTGTCTTCCGCGCTACAATTCATACATCATAAAAAGAGATTCAAAAGCACATTTCGTGTAAAAATTCCTTTTCGTCATCCAAACGGTGAAATCTCTGGCACCAACTTCCCCAGATTCGAACCGATTCGAATCATGCCCTAAGGGGTATTTTTGGTCCTTTCATGTTTGGAAACAATCTGCAGATATAAACATGAATGTCCCATTTGTGATCAACACTCAGTAATGCCATGCAAATCAAAAATAAAAAAATCTACTAACAACAATTAAATTTGGGGAGCTTTATTCAATTCATTGTCTGGTTATACTTTTGAAGTCAAACAGAAGTATAATCAGACAATAAATGTGTGGTTCCAAACTAATAATCAAGAAATAAAAGTTCACGTGAACATTCACATACTAATTCAGAAAGAAATCCCAAAAGGTCACTATCGTAGTCCATTTTCAACCATGCATTTGCCTTTGTTTGGCTCCTTTTGGTACCAACCTTAGACTTATCCATGATTTGTCATGGCCCGGGGTAATTCATTAAAGTTGGATTTCCTGTCAGAATATAGAAACCGTTATAGATGAGGCATTGCAAATCCTTTCCGGTAACACTCCATCCATCCTACTGATCACCACCTCCTTGAATTCAATGGACAGCTTCTCTTATTGTGATACATGTCTACGTATGTGATGCTCACCTTCTTGCCAGTTATTTGAAAGCTGTGCAAGAACACTACATTGTATGCTTCGTAAGATTACTAATTGCACAAACATTTACTTGATGACCAGTTTCTTATTTGTGTGCAGGGCCGGAACTGACTATGGTCTCACTTCTTTGACAACCGTCTTACCTGGTTAAGAACCTGCATTGTCTGTTCTAACTATTACATGTAGTTAGATGATACAATTGTTTGTATGCCGTTTCTGAATGAATGGCCTTTCAGCAAATTCTGTTTTGTCAGTTTTTTTGAAGTGGTCAAGCAAACTAGCTTGACTCTGATTTTTGTGTGGTGATACCATACTAGCCGGCTGTTTCTGTGCCTGTCGCAATCCTGACAATCATACATTTATTAAAATTGATTAATGGATTAAAATGTGAAATGAAATGGTGTTCTGCTCCGAATGGGCTAATGAAGACGGATTAAAACATTTAAAATAAGTGCAATCATCAATATATTGCGACATTTTTTTCGGACATCATCATTATTTGTTTCACCAATTACAATTTCTGGTGTCTAACAAATGCAGCTGCCACAGTCTGGTTGATTGATTGAATAATTGTAATGTCGGATTTCGGTTGCAAAACCACAATAAGGCTATATTGGGTCACTGTACTCGCGGACTGGAAAAGCAGGAAGATGCGTTAGCGGCCGTCTAATTTCCAAAATTATACTGGGAGAGACCCATATACCACCCGACGGCGAGCTCGAGATGGCAGAGGTTCAGGTCTACGGTTGGAGCATCCCAGACAGAAAAGAAACATTGTCTATTCGTTTGGATGGGGTCCCGTATGTACACAAGTTAGCGTGCAGGAAATAAAGAGTAGTAGTCCTGGATCTGACTTTGGTTCTGTAGGAAAGTTTGAAGAAATGTTTAGTAGGTAGCTTAGTCAGTATTTTGGCCATGGGTGGACACTCACCATGTGGTCACTCGGCAAACCTCAACAGATTCCAGTACCCTGCTAGATGTAGGGTACCGGAATCTGCCGAGGTTTGCCGAGTGACCATGTGGTAGGTTATTCCCCTATGACGTCATCAAAGATGGCCGCCAGTGTTATTTCAATTTCACCCTACCTGCTATAGTTTTCTTTCAATATAACAATTTTTATCCGATTTAATCGAAACTTATCCATAAGATCTCGGTTCTTTTCGATATTAGCATGCACCGGGCCTTAATTTCCTGAATTACGGTCCTTTATTGTACGAAAAATCGCGTTTTTAGCTTGTAAACCCTATAGAGGTCATAATTTTTTATCCGATTTAAAAAAAAACATTTGAATATACCACCGTTACACCCTAAGGGTAGTTGAGTTCGAATTTCGTAAAACCGGACCAAAACTGACAGACAAAATGGCCGCCCCTCGTACTCAATTAGCGTAAAAATATGGTATATCAAGGTTGTGGACAAGTTTATAACCCAAAGATCTCGGTTCCTTTCGATATTTGCGCATATCGGGCCGTAACTTCCTGAATCATGGCCCCTGATTGTACGAAAATCGCGTTTTTAGCATTTTGTCCCTATCGAGATCATAATTTTTATCCGATTTAACAAAAACCCTTTGAATATATCACCTTTACACCCCAGGGTGGTTGAGTTCGAATTTCGTAAAAATCGGACCAAAACTGACCGCCCCACGTACTCAAATAACGTAAAAAAAAATATGGTATATCAATGTTGTGGACCCTCTAGATGTGGAATAACCTACCACGTGGTGAATGTCTACCCAAGTTCAAAATACTTACTTCGGCACCCACTAAACATTTCTTCAAAAAAAATCTCCCTAATCAAACTTTCCTACAGAACCATAGTCAGATGCTGGATTATAGACTGTAGCTCCGCTGTTCGGGAAAATTTCCCTTGTATTACACATCACATCCAATATTGAAACGATTTCATAAAAAATGACGTAGAAATGGCAGGAACAGAAGCTTACACTGGGTAAAGTAAATACAAAAGCCACACCACAATTATTTTTTTTTTTGTTTATGTTTTTTAATAAACAGTAACAATTATTGTCCTCATATTATCAACCCTTAAGGGGCACATAGTATACATTATAAAATAGTAATATAAAATAATATTAATTATGTAAAAATAAATATTGCTATAGTGCAAAATCTATATAAAAACAATTAACCAAGCGTATACATATAGGGTATGACATAAACTAAACGGAAATGTCTGGCTTTTTTAATGACTACTTTAGGCTGAGGAAAGAGTGGGACATTTCGAAAATACTGGAAACTGTCTCTGATCGAAGGGGGGTTGGATGGCTGAATGGTTAGCGTGCGCGCACTGTATCATAAAGTCTGTCATTGAGTCGACTGGCGTGGTTTCAAATCCCCGGTTGTACGTGACAAGGAGTAGGGTCGCCTGTCCAACCTCGTGGGTTTTCTCTGGGTCCTCCGGTTTCCTCCCACTGCTAAAGACCCCTATGCGCAAGCGAATTATTGAAATAAAATTAAACCATATTATGTTAGTCCCGAAATGACCTAGTTTGTGTCGAGTGGACGTTAAACCCCATTTCTCTCTCTCGATTCACGGTACTCGACATAGTAACCATGGGTCAGAGATGTAAACACACAGAGCTAAGGCAAGGGCTAGGTTTGTTTACATCTTGTGACCTTGACGAAATCTGCAGGTTAATACATGTAACCCAAACCTTTACAGATACCTATTTATGTTACAGCAGAGAGAGAGAGAGAGAGAGACTATGTCAAAGAATATTTGAAAACAGACAAAAAGCTGGTTAACCGACATTTTAATTTCTACATCGACGATTTTAGTCAAAATTTGAGAATTATTTATTCTGTTGAAATGTTTATTTTTTTCTTTTTGTGCATGAATCGTGTGGCACAGATTAGAACCGCATTACTAAGTTTGGAATGTCGCGGTCATTCAGGGAAGAGATCTATTCTTAAAGTTAATAGTAACCATTCTATGTGTATGCAGAATGCAATATTACCAGATCAGAGATGTATTGTTGGAGTTTTTTAAACAGTTGATTCTCGCCGTTATGTATCTAAATACAGAAATGATTGGACCATCTATTTTAACAGCTACATGCTTAATACAATACAAATCTTATTAAAACAAATTTGTATATTATCATAGGACTGTACTATTTGATTAGGTTCAAGAATAGTGATTGAACAGTAGACAGATTGCGTAATCGTACATTCACAAAAAAAGCACGCACTAAGATATACATACTAGTGAGATCACTCTACATTTAGGCAAGTTTCTAACATAAATAAATAAAAAATAGAACTATAAAATCATCAACAATTCATAAAATAATTGGAAATATTTAGACCGGGAGAACGGTGTTGAATTTTGTGGTAAAAACATCTAAGTTGTCACAATGAATAGATTACGTTTAGGACCCCATCTGAATCTATTAATATTCCGATAGATTTCGATTGGGTGCACATACTTGACCATAACGTATATCATCATAATAAATTTGATGCTTTCAGCATAAAATTCTGACCGTTCACAACATTAGACGAAAATGCATAATAATGAAAAGAAAACCATCAAATTTTGATCAACATTTTCTGAAATCGTTCTTGCTAGAGTCCTTTAATATTCGGCATGGCCGCTTATAGTAACTAAGAAAGAACCCTATCAGCTTTCAAATTTTTCGAACGCTATTAAAGAGTTATCTTTACCTTCACATTTTGTTGATCGTCAGGAATAAGGCCTAGGAAATATCAATCAGGAATCAATTAGTAAGTTAGTCTTGGAATGTAAATCATGTGGGTTTTAATGGAACTGTTAAGTTTTGCATTTCTATTCTCTATAACATAAGTATATAGATTTAACTCAAATTTTGTAAATGAGGCCTTCAAATAAAATATTTTTGTTCATACCATTTAATATATTTTTGTTTAATTAACTTTCTCTTTACGATAGCCAACTCCTCTAGCATGTGGCCCCAGATTTTTATCAAAGATAAAAGTCCACACGACCTTCACCCAGGAAGTATGATAGGGATGATGATCATAATATTCTGCTGCTATTCGTTTGACCTCTGGTAGACGATGGTAAGCGATGTACGGAAAATCATGATGTTCAATGTGATAGCCTACATTAAATAGAATAAAGTTCAGTGGTCCATAATAAGAATGCGTGGCCAATCCATCAGTAAATAGATAGTGTTCGGATATAAAGTGACCAGCCAGTGGATGGAATCCCATAGAAAAAAAAGTACCAGAAACAAGATATATCATTGCCTTCCATCCAACCAGACGAACAATAATAGCATTAAATGTCAATTGAACTACTGTATTTATCATCTCCCAACCTGTTATCGGTTTGGGACTTTTATAAAATGGTCGGATTGCATGAATCGCTGGATGAAAAAACAACCAAATAATTTTTGTAATGGGCCTACGAAACAAAAAACTTTCGAGTCGAGTTGGGATATCTACATCTTGGTTCTCTTCGCCCAGGTAACGGTGATGATCGGCATGATATTTCCGATACGATATTGCCATAGGAACGCCGAGCGGCAAATTACACCAAAGGCTCAAGAGCCTGTTAGCAGCCGGTCTACCATGACCAAAGGCCAAGTTATGTCCAATTTCATGAATAGCACTTCCCAGTGAATGGTTTAAAACTCCACCAAAACAATAAGCTAATATAAATATTGTCCACCAGTTAGCTTCTTGTAATATCCAACACATAAATATCTGAGTAAAAACTTCCGCTGATACAATATAAGCTATGCTGGAATCATATCCCATCAGCTTTTTTATCTGTGGATATTTTTTCAGTATTTCTTTACGTCGTTCGGTATGAGGTTCTTCTGACCACATCCATTCATCATCTTGACTCGTTGCTCTTTCCGCTAAACTTAAGAATTTATCAAACCATTTCATGCTGAGCCCCTCTCCTGAAAATACATTAAAGAATTTGTGAATTTTCGTGAGATTATCGAAGGTGTTGAAAATCGACAGGCTTCTTCATTTCAACACATATATAGAGATTTTGACGTTCAGCCTCAAAAACATAATACAGATTCTGATTAACACACTTTCATTTGATTTTGACGTAGGAGTCAATGTAATTTCATACCCTTTTCGACCACCCATTTTAATATAATCTGTCTTGATCGTAATGGAACCCCTTAAATCTTTTCTTATTTTTGTTCGTTTATAGGGCGAAATATTAAAACCATCATTTCATTTGCGCATTGCCCTGACACCAGATATTCAGCTGGATCTTTAAAAACGCAAGCGCCAGGAACATCTTCGTCTCAAAATATATTTTCCAAATTTCATATCTAAATTCAGCCCTTTATGTTGTCCCTTTGAATATAAGTAACTTTATTTGAACAAATCCGGATAAACACACCCAATAAACATACATACAAAATTTGGTTGAAATTCATCAAACAGTCTAGGAGAAGTCAAAAATATTGTGTCAAGCAACATCGTTTGATCAAATTTGAATAAGTCCACCCATACAGCATAACTATAAATTTTGGTAGCAATCTATTGAGTGATTTTGGCGAATAAGTCGAAATGTACCTTTAAGCGCAAAGTAACTTCACTTCTCTTGAAAAAATATCATCCAGTTCACATACCCAACTGGGTTAAAAACCACCCTGCGGTTTAACATGAAAGTTAAAACATGGCTAGATTCACTCAGTCATCCCAGTCACATCCTTATCGGTTCAAGCAACTATGTTTGAACAAATCTGAATAAGCACCCCCTGCAGGCAACATCTACTAATTATCCAAATTTGCCACTTGTACGATTTCCCTATATCATACTCCGTCCCTATAATAGGTTCCAGTCCTGTCATTTTAACAAACCATTATCATCCAAGGGCGCTTCATACAAATTTAAAAGAAATCCATCCGATAGTTCTGAAATAGATTTTAAATTCGTTGAAATCAATGATAAGCGGTTGCCATGCAAGATACGCCCACATGTTGCAAGAGATGGACGAAAACAAACTGTACGAGGGGACATAATTCAGGAAGTTATGTTCCGATATGCGCGAATATCAAAAGGAACCGAAATCTCTGGAATATAAACATACAGTTTCATCAAAATCAGATAGAGGGTCCACAACCTTCCTATTGCAAACTCTTACACAATTTGCGTAGAAGGAGCAGCCATTTTGTCGGGCAGTTTCGGTCAGATTTTTACGAAATTCGAATTCAACCTTCATTAATGTGTAACGGTGATATATTTAAACAGTTTTTAAAATTAAATACAAAAATGCAATTTTTTGAACAATCAGGAAGTTACGTTTGGATATAGGCGATTATCGAAAGGAACTGAGGTCTTTGTGATATAAACATAAGTTTAAAGTTTCATCAAAATCGAACCAAACTTGAGACCTCTAGTGGGTCCACAACCTTGATATACCATATTTTTTTTACACTATTTGCGTATACGAGGGGCGGCCATTTTGTCCGGCAGTTTTGGCCCGATTTTCACGAGCTTTGAACTCACCAACATTATGGTGCAACGTGATATATGGAAAATCCTTGGAATAAGTAGTATCATGTGCTCGACTTAACTACCTTGCACACAAGATGTTTCTTTCTACCTCTCCACATTAAGTATACTTTAAATCATTTTAAACGTAAACTGTCCTCTAATAAGTTCAGAAAAGCATTTCAAAAGCCAATATAGGCTGGTGGCTATGAGGCCCCAAGCTATACACATTTTCTTTGCTTCTTAAATCGAGGTCTAACAACTGCTACCTATTTAATTGGCGACTTGTGTCGTGCACAAGGAGTATGAATTTAAAAAGATTAAGTGATAATTGTAGCTCTTAGAATGGATAACAAACGTACAACCAGTGGTTGCCAGGCAAGATACCCCACATTTTGCAAGAGATGGATAAAGAACAAGCTTCAAACAAAAGCGATTTTTCGTACAATCAGAGGCCATAATCCAGAAAATTATGGTTTGAAATGCACAAATATCGAAAGGGACTGTGATCTTTGGGATATAACGATATATTTTAAGTTTCATCTAAATCGGATAAAAAAATTATGACCTTCAAAGGCTAATATCTTCGCTCGCAATGGAGCAATTTAAATGAAATTTTCAAATTATTCATTATACATTATCTTTTTTCGAGCTCTTTATCTAAACCTTACATAATGTATTATTAATTAAATGAATTCTGGTATAAGCTGTATTGGGGTCTTAGCAAGTATTGTGAGGGCAGCGTCTTAAGTTAGGGTCCGTCTTCATTAGCCCAGTTCGGGGCAGAGCAGTCGGACGTTAAACCCCATTTCATTTCTTAAGTTAGGAGGATGGATGGCCGAATGGTTAGCAAGTGCGCGCTGTATCATAAGCTCTGTCATTGAGTCAACTGGCGTAGTTTCGATTCCCCGGTTGTACGTGACAAGGAACGGGGTTTTCTCCGGGTACGCGCAAGCGAATTAAATTGAAATAAAAATTGAACCATATGTTAATATTGAAAGGAACCGAGATAAACCTATATTTCAAGTTTCGTCAAAATCGGATAAAAATTGTGACCTGTCGAGTGTCCACAAAAAAATTGCGGACGGACGGACGCACGTCCGGACTGACAGGGGCGACGACAATATACGTCCACATGAAAATGCATTGAAAGGACGCAACCTACTTTACTGTTACCCATATTCCTTAAGCAATGGCCCGTAAAATCTTTCTCTGGCCATTGCTGGATTGACTTCTGATACTTGAGTTTTTGAGCGAGTGTGTCTATTCTTCCCGTTCAATCAAATCTATTCCAAGTACGGCAACATGGACAGCCCTTAGTTTAATCTGGGGTCTTCCCTAAAACTTTGGACAGTGATTTAAGGTATTAAAGATAGGTTGCCAGGCAACGAAACATACGCCCACAGCAGCTAAATCGTCCAGGCAGTCAACAAGTGTTGTCGCATATTTTTACTTTTTTCGGTAATGAAACATTTATAATACACTAAAATCTGATTAAGAGTAAAAACTCATGAAGTAATTATCAGAAAACTATAAGAATTGGTTTGGTTTTTATAAAGTTCTGCCCCATGCTAACGCTTAGTATACAAAACTTTTAATATCATGGATTTAGCTGTTCAAGTCATAAAAATTTACTTGTTCGTATCAAGATCTTAAACTCTGTGTATCAATCTGAAGTCAATCGGATGATAACTTTAGCCTCTAGAGCGTCACAAGATTTTTCAAAGTGATCAAGGGCCACAACTTTGGCAGTAATTATCGGAAATCGCTGAAAATCAATAGGCTTCTTTGCCTCATGACCTTAAATACTGTGTATAAATTTAAAGTCAATCGGATATTAACTTTAGCCTCTAGAGCGTCCACAAGATTTTTGGAAGTGATCAAGGGCCATAACTCTGGCAGTAATTATCGGAAATCGCTGAAAATCAATAGGATTCTTCGGCTCATGGTCTTAAACACTGTATACAAATTTAAAGTCAATCGGATATTAACTTTAGCCTCTAGAGCGTCCACAAGCAATTGTTGACGCCGGACCGACGGACGGACGGGGGCGACGACAATATACGATCACACTTCAATGTGGGCGTATAAAAACGGTGAAAGTATTGTTCGTCTCCAAACAGTATTGTTTACATTGTATATGTGTTGATAGCCTCGTTTGTCACGCAATTAGTTTTTTTGCAATATTCTGCTATGCACTGGTTAATAAAATCATGAGTCATGACGTAACGTTATGTAAACATAATATTTGGTCCAATTTGGAACTCTGTTTAAAGCGTAATGATATTGTTACGCAGTTAGCTATTGGTTATTAATCCGACTATTGACCAGTCATAACTTGGAACAGAAATTTGCTTCCATTACAGTAGTGTTAAGTGGGATTAGCTCTAAGCAAACGAAACACTGCGAGCCTGTTACCTAAAATATCTTCGAATACTCTAAAGAATTTTCTTTACACAAACTCTATTTTTCCGAAGCATAATTGTTTTCTTGACAATGCAATACACAGATGCAACCATATGTTGAACGGGGCAACTTACTTTACTGTTACCTAAAATATCTTCGAATAAAGGATCATCATTCTGTCGAACTATAATATATCTTCCCAATTCAGCTTGATATATATTAACGAATGTTGTTTTATATGAAATAAATGGGGTTCGGTGGTCGAGTGGGATAACCCGTGCGCTTTAGATCATACGGTCTGCTATTAAGGTTTTGGCGATTTTCTCCCCGAAAAGTTAATTTCTTTCATCACGTAAGGCCGCTTATTATATTTGTTCAAGGGTTGTATGCAGATGCTCCCACTGTTTCACAGAAACTGGTTGATATAAATCTCCCTACAAAAATACCTATAATATATACATGTATAGCTCTCAAGAATTATCTCCGTCCGAAGCAATCTGATTAAAACACAGATCCTATTTCGTTTCGTTTTTTTTAGTTCAAAATTTCGTTTTACTTGTCTTAACTACACTAGGCTCTGGAAGAGTGTTATATTACCGACGTTTTGGTTGAAGTGGGGGATAAGCCAATGAAACGGTCTGTTACGGCGACTTCTTGGCTTGCCATGCACGGAACTGTGGGTTAACCACTAGAAACATCAACGTCGATTGATTAATCAATGTCTGAAGACATAAGGTCGAAAGCCGCTCGTACGACCCCTGACACGACCTTATAGTACAATTTGTCAGATCTTCACAATAGTGTGTAGGCCATCGAAAGTATATAAAAAAAACGAAACGAAATATAGATCTGTATTTTAATCAGGTTTCCACAATTTCGGCCGAAAAGCCCGTTCACGTCTAAAATTAATGAAATGCCACACCAAAAGTTCAACTGGGCAAATGAGACTGCCTGTTTGGGAATGGGAATAAATGCTGATGGAATTTTCTCGAGCGAAAAACTTGTAGAAAGCTGCCACCCGTTAGGGCTTGAAATTAATTGCCTTTAATTCTTAATTCAGATACATGTAGTTTAAGATGAAAGGGGCCGTTTATTCAAAACTCAGTTATTTTAACTTTATTTATATTATTATATTATACGAACGAGGGAAGAATATACATGTAACAGCTTGTAATTTGAGTTCTTTCTATCTCATTGTATCATTGAGATTTTTTGGGGCGTAAAAAAGAACTGTGCACTATTTGACCTTTGACCCCAGATCTGCTCCAGATAATAAGGAGAAACTCGACCTTTTAACCAAAAAGAAAATAATCCTTACAACGAAAGATTACAATCTCCATCCTATGGCTGGCTATATATAAAGCTATTAATGTTGGCCTATATTTGAAGGGAATCACCGTAAAAAAGGTTCATATCCTTTTAGGGGAGGGATTTACCCCATTTTTATATATGACTTGGTGCATAACTCCACGGACGACGCAGCTGCTGGTAGGCGATTGTTGGCAGACCCACATCGGTGACGAGGTAATACACCCAGATTTAAATGTTGGCGTATAATAAGTAGAATATCGCTAGGCCTACTCAGGCAGAACAGGCGTATAAAGGGGAGATTCGGTAACGAGTTGGCAGTTCTCACTGTAATAGTTAAAACCTTGATAATGTAAAGGCAATTTGGTGAAAATTTCATTCAAATTGATCCACTATGAACCGAGAACTAAGCGACTGAAACTCCCATAAGCCTCGGTCAGCATTACTAAAGTCAGTACGATAAACAGCATAGTCTCGATTACCCATTTAATCGTTTAATCGAGAAGGAATGTTATGCAGTAAATCGGCTTACAATCCACTAAAGATCGCAGGCTAGCGTTGCCATCTAGAGTTGATTATGGTCTGGATAGGTTAATTAATGTCTAATTAATAATTTAGATAACATTTCGGACCTTAAGAAAGACCTAAAATAGGCAGATTTAGCTATTGCATAATGTATGTTTAAGAAATAAGACGGCAAAACATCGATTG